GTGAAACCCCATCTCTACTAAAAATACAACAACATTAGCTGGGCGTGGTGGCAGGCACCTGTAATTCCAGCTACTCAGGAGGCTGAGGCAGGAGACTCGCTTGAACCTGGGAGGCAGAAGTTGCAGTGAGCCAAGATTGCACCATTGTGCTTCCAGCCTAAGCAGCAAGAGCAAAACTCTGTCTCAAAAAAAGGAAGAAGAAAGAGAAAGAAAGAAAGAAAGAAAGAAAGAAAGAAAGAAAGAAAGAAAGAGGGAGAGAAAGAGATAGAGTCAGAGCAGAAATAAGTGAAATTGAAATGAAGAAAAAAATACAAAAGATCAATGAAACAAAAAGTTGGTTTTCTGAGGTTAGACAAAATTGATAAACCTTTAGCCAGACTGACTAAGAAAACAAGAGAGAAGTCCCAAAAAAATAAAGTCAGAGGTGAAAAAGGAGACATTACAACTGATGCTACAGAAAATCAAAGGATCGTTCGTGGCTACTATGAGCAACTATGTCAATAAATGGGAAAATGTAGAAGAAATGAATAAATTCCTGGACTCCTACAACTAACCAAGACTGAACCATGAAGAAGCCCAAAACCTGAACAGACCAATAACGAGCAACAAGATTGAAGCTGTAATAAAAAGTCTCCCAGTAAAGAAAACCCCAGAACACCATGACTTCACTGCTGAATCCTTCCAAACATTTAAAGAACTAATACCAATCCTACTCAAACTCTTCTGAAAATAGAGGAGGAGGGAGTATTTCCAAACTCATTCTACAAGGCCAGTATTACCCTGGTAACAAAACCAGACAAAGACTCATCAAAAAAAAAAAAAAGAAAGAAAGAAAGAAAGAAAACTATAGACCAATATCCCTTATGAATATTCATGCAAAAATCTTCAACAAAATGCTTGCAAACTGAATTCAGCAATACATTAGAAAGATCATTTATTATGACCAAGTGGATTTATTCCTGGGATGAAAGGATGGTTCAACATGTGTAAACCAATCAATGTGATACATCATATCAATGGAATGAACGACAAAAACCATATGATCGTTTCAAGTAATGCTGAAAAAGCATTTGATAGAATTCAGTGGATAAAAGTAGAACTACCATATGATCCAGGAATCCCACTGCTAAGTATGTACCCAAAAGAAAGCAAATTAGTCTATCAGAGAAATATCTGCACTCCCATGTTTGTTGCAGCACTGTTCACAATTGCTAAGATTTGGAAGCAGCCTAAGTGTCCATCAACAGATGAATGGATGAAGCAAATGCAATACCTATATCCAATGGAGTACTATTCAGCCATAAAAAAGGATGAGATTCTGTCATTTACAACAACATCAATAGAACTGGAGGCCATTAAGTTAAATGAAATAAGCCAGGCACAGAAAGACAACATCATGTGTTCTCACTTATTTTTGGGATCTAAAAAATCAAAACAATTGAACTAATGGACATAGAGAGCAGAAAGATTGTCACCAGAGGCTAGGAAGGGTAATGGGAAGGGGCAGGTTGGGGAGAGGCGATCATGGTTAATAGGTACAAAAACATTAGTCAAAAAGAATGAGTAAGAAAACAGGGTGACTCTAGTAATTTAATTGTACATTTAAAAACAACCAAAAGAAGCCTGGGCAACATGATGAAACCCAGTCTCTACGACAAATACAAAAAGTAGCCAGGCATGGTGGCACCCCCGCTTCTTGTCCCAGCTACTTGGGAGGCTGAGGTGGAAAGATTGTTTGAGCCAGGGAGGTGGAGGTTGCAGTGAGCTGGGATCATGCCACTGTACTCCAGCCTGGATAACAAAGCAAGAGTCTGTCTAAAAAAAGAAAAAAAAGGGAAATAGACAATCTAGCCTTCTATATTATGGAATTAGAAAACAAAGAGCAAGCTAAACCAAAAGCAACCAGAGGGAAAGAAATAATAAAGGTTGGAGTGCAGATAAATAAAATGGAGAATAGAAAAGCAATAGAATCAATGGAACAACAACAAAAAAAATGGTTCTTTGAAACGATTAACAAAATTGGCAAACCTTCAGCTAGACTCTGTCTCACACAGAGAGAGACAGTGAATGAATGAGATAGAAGACTCAAGACTTGATTACTAAAATCAGAAATGAAAGCGGAGTCATCACTAAAAACCTTAAGAAGAAAAACTAAAGGATTACAAAAAATACTATGAACAATTGTATACCAACATATTAGATAATCTGGATAAAATAGACAAATTCCTAGAAACTCACAAATTACCAAAGTTGACTGAAGGAAAAATAAAAAATCTGAATAGATCTATCATAAGTAAAAAGATTAAATCTGTGATCAAAAACCTACCAACAAAGAAAAGGCCAGGGCCTTCACTGGTAAATTGTAGCAAACATTTAAGGAAGTAACACCAACCCTTCTCAAACTCTTACCTAAATAAATAAATAAGCAAGCAAAGGAGGAAACACTTCCTAACTTATTCTACGAGACCAGTATTATCCTGGTACCAAAGGCAAACAGACATTACAAGGGAAAAAACCCTACAGACCAATAAGTCTTATGAATATAGGTGCAAAAATCCCGAACAACATGCTAGCAGACTAAATCCAGCAGCATATTAAAAGCATCATACACCATGACCAAGTGAAAGTTATCCCAGGAATGCATGCGTCATTTAATACACAAAAATCAGGTCTGGCACGGTGGCTCAACCCTGTGATGGCACTTTGGGAGGCAGAGGCGGGTGGATCACCTGAGGTCAGATGTTCAAGGCCAGCCTGGCCAACATGGCAAAACCCTGTCTCTACTAGAAATATAAAAATTAGCCGGGTGTGGTGGTGGGTAGCCTGTAATCCCAGCTACTCGGGAGGCTGAGGCAGGAGAATTGCTTGAACCCAAGGATGGAGGTTGCAATGAGCCGAGATTGCACCACTGGACTCCAGCCTGGGCAACAGAGCAAGACTGTCTCAAAAAAAACAAAAACAAAAACAAAAAAAAACCACTTTAATGCATGTAATTAATAAAGTGAAAGGGGAGAAATATCACATGATCATCTCAATTGATGCAGAAAAATAACACTTAACAAACTAAGAATAGAAGGAAAATGTCTCAACCTGCTAGAGGGCATCAGGAAAAACCCACAGTGAATATTGCTGGTGGGAATATAGAACAGCACAGCTGCAATACAAGAGCTTGGTGGTTCTTCAAAAAATTAAACGTAAGAGTTACCATATGACTCAGCAATTTCTTTCTCGTATAGACCCCAAACAAATAAAAAAGCAAATATTGACACAAAAACTCGTATATGGATGTTCATCGCCAACATTGTTCATAATAGCCAAAAAGTACAGACAACCCAGATGTCCATCAATTGATGAATAAATGAATAAAATGTGGTATATTCATACAAGAGAACATTATTCATCCATAAGAAGAATGAAGCACTGATACATGCTGCAATACGGACAGCCCTTGAAAACATGATCAGAGAAAGAAGCCAGATACAGCGAGGGTACGTGTCGTATGATTCTATTTACATTAGTACCCCCTTACCTTCAGGGGATACGTTTCAACACCTCTAGTGGATGCCTGAAACCACAATATATCTAATCCTATCATACTATGTTTTTTCCTATGCATGCATATCTACGATAAAGTTTAATTTATAAATCAGGCACTGCAAGAGGTTAGCAACGATAGCTAAGAACAAAATAGAACAATTAGAACAATATGCCAGCTTCTGTGACGGGAAAGTTGCATGGAAAACCACCACCATATGCCAGCAACACTGCTCTTGAACTTTGGGTCTTGATTAAGTATAAGAAATGTTGCTGGAACACAAGCCCTGTGATACTGTGGCGGTTGATCTGTAACTGAGAAGGCTGCTAAGTGACTAACAGGCAGGAAGTGTAGACAGCGTGGACCATGGTGGATAAAGGAAGTGTTCATGTCCGGGGTGGGACAAAGGGGAAAGGTGAGAGGTTTCATCACGCCACTTAGAATGATGCACAACTGAAAACTCGTATGTTGTTTATTTCTGGAGTTTAGTATTTTAGGATTGTGGTTGACTGCAGGTAACTGAAACCATGGAAAGTGAAACCACAGATAAAAGCGGGCTACTGCATTTAAAATGTCCAGAATAGGCAAGTTCATGGCGACAGAGATCAGTGGTTTCCAGGGGGTTGGGGGATCGGGAATGGGATGTGACTGCTTAATAGGTACAGAGTTTCTTTCTAGAGTGACAACGGTATTCTGAAACTGGTGGTGATGACTGACAACTTGTGAATGTACCGGAAGCCACTGCATTTGTATGATTTTTTCTTTTTGAGACAAGGTCTCACTCTGTCACCCAGGCTGAAGTGCAGTGGCACCATGATGGCTCACCATAGCCTTGACCTACCTCCTGGGCTCAGGTAATCCTTCCACCCCAGCCTCCTGAGTAGCTGGGACTACAGGCACGTGTCACCATGCCAGGCTGTTTTCTGTATTTTTTGGAGGAATAGGGTTTCACCATGTTGCCCAGGATGGCCTTGTACTCCTGGGCTCAAGTGAACCTCCCACCTTGGCCTCCCAAAGTGCTAGGATTATAGGTGTAAACCACTTCCCCCAGCCTTGTACAATTTAAAATGGTTAAAATGATGAATTTTACATTGAATTTCACTTCATAGGAATTTTTTTTAAAAAAACAACAAACCACTTTAATGGACACATAAATTCCCTGGGGGTCTCATTGCAAAGCAGATTTGGATTAAGAAGTCTGGGTGGGGCCTGAGACCCTGATCCCCTTGCTTTTCACCTATGGCCACATTTTGAGACGCAAGACCACTCGAAGAGCCCCCACCTCTGTGAATCAACCCCTGTTCATCTGCTCCTGTAATTAAGGAGGACTAAAGCACAGATGGCGGGAATGGGGGTGTCCCCAGGTCTGAGCCTGGGGTGGGGGTTGCAGGCCTCCTCCAGGCATGGAAGTGGAGGGAGAGGGGGCTGTAGTTAAACGGGTTACTCTGTCAGCAGACACAGAGGAGACAGAAGGAGGAGATTTTATTGCACACGAAGCTGCGGAAGGAAGGCGAGCGGACAGGGCTGGCTCTCAGAGGGTGCTGCCTGGCAAGGGCACCACCTCCAGCTGCTGGGCTCCAGCTCCGGGGCTCAGAAGCCATCTGAAAGAAAGCGGCGGCCTCCAGTGAGCAAGCTGGGGTGCTGCAGGGTCCCCCGGCCGGCCCGTGTTACCCAACAGTTTCTTCCCTCCTCTCCTCAGCCCTCCGGGACACGGGGATCAAGAAGAGAGCAAAGTGCAACTCCGTCCCTGCCTGATCAGTGGGGTGCCGTCTTCCCTGAGGGTTTTGGGGTGGAACAGGAGGGGCTTCTAAGGGGGAAATGAAAGGAGCTGAGGAGCTTTAGTCCGGAGAAGGCCAGTGAAGGAGGCAGCTTCTCCTCGCTGGGGTGTGCGGAGATGGTATCTAGGGCCGGCTCTTCCCGAATTTCGTTTTGACACTGGGCGGCAGCGACCGGGTGTGGGTTGGGGAGGAGGGGTGGTGCCGTCCCGCTTCCGTCCCCGGGGGCGCTGGGGCCCCCCGCCACTGTCCAGCCCCAGATGACAGCAGTTCAGAGGCTTTCCTCTGCCACCTGCAGTGCTTACCTTCTCCGAGGAGGTCGGGGGCCGGGCTGAAGGGTCCTGGGGGCAGGTTCCAGGCCAGCTCCTCCAGCAGGCCCAACAGGCCTTTCACCTCTGTCGCCAGGTGCTCCACGGTCTTCTCTACCATCTATTGTGGGAAGGGGGTCAAGTCGAGGACAGGAGTGGTGCCGCACTCTGCTTCATCAGCTAGGCCCTAAGGAGCAGCTAGCGGTCCAGCGGGGTGCAGTGGGAAAGGACTGGGCGCTGCAGGAACTGATTTTCCTCACTCAGGCTCTGCCCCTACCTGCCTCAGTTTCCCCAGATGACAATATCCTAGGGGACTCGCTCTCTAAGGCTCCTTCCTTTTTGGCACTCAGTCACAGGTTGGGGTGAAACGCCTTTAGAATACCTTCTCCCTTTTGGGACTTTGCAGCCTGGCGCTCACATTTCTTTTGTTGCTCCGCTCCCTGGTGGTGTCTCTGCTGAATGACAGATTTGGGATTTTGAAATTTACTCAGGGTTCTCAATAGTTATTTTTCCCCCTGTGTATGCCATGGACCCCACTGGCAGTGTGATGAAGCCTACAGACCTCTTCTCAGAATAATGCCTTAAATGCAAAAAATAAAGCATATAGAATTACCAGGGGCATCGATTGCATTAAAATATTATTCATTATTAAAAATTAAACTTTTTGGCCCAGCACAGTGGCTCACGCCTGTAATCCCAGCATTTTGGGAGGCCGACGTGGGCAGATCACTTGAGGTCAGGAGTTTGAGACCAGTCTGGCCAACATGGAGAAGCCCCATGTCTACTAAAAATACAAAAAATTAGCCAGGCATGGTGGTGCATGTCTGTAGTCCCAGCTACTCGGGAGGTTGAGGCATGAGAATCACTGGAACCCTGGGGCAGAGGCTGCAGTGAGCTGAGATTGAACCATGAATTCCACCTGGGTAACAGAGCAGGACTCTGTAAAATAAAAATTTAAACTTTTGGATATAACATACGTATTGACCAGCCATAGTGACTCATGCTTGTAATCCCAGTACTTTGGGAGGCCGAGGTGGGTGGATGGCTTGAGCTCAGGAGTTCAAGACCAGCCTGGGAAACGTAGCAAAACCTCACTTCTACAAAAAAAAAAAAAAATACAAAAATTGGCCAGGCATGGTGGTACATGCACCTGTAGTCCCAGCTACTTGGGAGGCTGAGGTGGGAGGATTGCTTGAGCCTAGGAGGCGGAAGTTGCAGTGAGGTGAGACTGCACCACTGTACTCCATCCTGGGTAACAGGGAGACAATGCTTCAAAAAAAAAATGTATTTATTAAGTCACATGATTTAACATCAGGCCTAACAACAACAGAAAAGTTGACATAGGAAGGTTATAAATGATATGTTGAGATATTCATAACTAGAACAAGATGAAATGATCTGGATTTCTCTTGATGACCAAGCTATAGTACTGTTAATACCACTGCTTGCTGTCTGTATTTATGAGGAACGGGAATGCTCAATTTCAGTTAAAGGTTTGCAACAATACAAATGCAAGCTTTTTTCCACACAAGTTAGGAATCATGGCTAAATAACAAAATAGTGACTGAATTTCTAACTTCCCATCCAGTACTGATGCTGAAATATCTGCATGGGAGCAAGTGAGGCCTTAGGAGAAGCAGGGTCCATTGGGGACTGGACAGTGTGACAGCCTAGATGGGAGGGTGATGTTGGACAAGGCAGCCACAGTGCAAGATTGGCCTGTACAGTCTGACATTCCAAAGCAAGCTTGCATCTGCCCATAAAAACACCATCCTAGGCCAGGCCTGGTGGCTCACCCCTGTAATCCCAGCTCTTTCAGGGGAGGAGGTGGGCGGATCACCTGAAGTCGGGAGTCTGAGACCAGCCTGACCAACATGGAGAAACCTCATCTCTACAAAAATATAATATCAGCTATGCATGGTGGCACATGCCTGTAATTCCAGCTACTTTCGAGGCTGAGGCAGGAGGACCTCTTAAACCCGGGAGGAGGAGGCTGTGGTGAACAGAGATCATGCCATTGCACTCTAGCATGGACAACAAAAGCAAAGCTCCCTCTCAAAAAAAACCCCAGTCTTAGAAGGTGGTCCTGACCCCGCATGTCCTTCCAAACCACGCTGTTACCTCCTCCACGACAACCAGACGGCGTTGCACAGCCATGTGTCTGTCACACGCTGTGCTCTGAGCTGCGTCTCCTTGGGGAGGGCTGAAGGGTTCTGCAGCTGTGGGGAAACAAGTCTTGTCACTGTGGGGCCCTTGGTTTGCCATCATGCCAGATACTCCTGTAAACACTGGGCTCAAGTGAGGTCGGTCCCCAAAGCAAATGCAACAGCAAGCAGAGGAAGGCCCTGTGGGGTCGGTGTGTGAGTGCCAGCCATCTCAATCCCACCAGTCACCTACAGACCCACATGGACTTCCTCAAGGAGGTGAAGCCCAGGGAGGAAGGGAAGACGGGCTCCACCCGGGGAGAATGGCAACTGCAATGACAGAGAGGCCTGAAAGAGCATGGCTCAGTGTATAAACCCTGCAGGGAGCCTGCAGTGGCTGGAGATACAGGGTGGTCGGGAGACAGACTGGACAGGGAAATCCTGGAAATCAAACCAAGGGGGCAGAGCTTTAGCCCAGAGGCTTTAACAAATCAGTTCTGATGCATGTTTGGGGGGCAATCTGGGCTCACTGCAACCTCTGCCTCCCAGGTTTGAGTGATTCTTCTGTCTCAGCCTCCCAAGTAGCTGGGATTACAAGCGCCTGCTACCATGCCTGGCTAATTTTTGTATTTTTAGTAGAGATGGGGTTTCACCATGTTGGTCAGGCTGGTCTCAAACTTCTGACCTCAGGTGATCCTCCCGCTTCAGCCTCCCAAAGTGCTGGAATCACAGGCATGAACCACCACGCCCAGCCAAGGGGGTTTATTTTAACAGAAGAGTCACAGAGTCAAACATGAATTTTTAAAATATAAGGAATAGACTGGAGGGAGATGCCTTTGAAGGCAGGAAGTTACTGCAGCAATCAGGGTAAGAGGGATGAAGGAGAAGGGATGGGCAGAGGCAGTAGCGGTAGGAATGTGAGGATAAAAGTGAGAGGAGGTATTTCAATAGCAGCATTGACACTGGGACCCGTTAGTAACAGCTGGCATGTGATGAGCACTTACCATGCACCATGTAGGGTGTTAACTTAACCTCTCCAACAACCTGTTGTTACGCCCAATCTACACGTAAGAAAACTGATGCATAGAGGGGTGAAAGTATGTGTCCAAACTCACTACTCATAAGCAGAGGATCTGCCATTCCATTGTTCTCCTTGAGTTAGCTCTTTCAGGCACCATCAACCCTCAGCGCAGAAGTCTAAGAGCTCTGATTCCAAGCTCAGGCTTCAGAGCTGGTAACCCCGAGATGCCTTTGGGGCATCAGAGTTGGCTGGAACCTTGGAGAACACTGACACTCAAGAAGAAGGTGCTGCCCCAGAGGTCAAGAGCAGCCAAGATTTACAGATTCTGCAGAGATGAAAAAGGTCAGCATGGTTGAAAGCAGTGAGGAGGTCTAGCAAGATAAGGACTGGAAAAAGAGCATGGGAAAGGCCCTTCTTAGATGTCACCCCGGCACTTTTAGGAGTGGTGGAGGAAAAGCAGAGTTTGGATTATGGTAAGATGAGAAGGGAAGGTGAGGCTGGGGATAGAAACTTGGATTCTGGAAAATTTTACAAAGCTTGGCTGTGAAGGAAAGGAGATTGGATCACAAGGTCTAGAGAAGGTTTTGTGTGTGTGTGTGTGTGTGTGTGTGTGTGTGTGTGTGTGTGTGTGTTTTAAGCATTGGAAAACACAATGATGTTTACAGCCTGAGGGACAAAAGGAAGACAGGAGAAGCAAAGGAATGCTCTTCCTGAATTGATGGGAGGCCCTGGATCCAGAGGGGGTGGGAACACATCTGGAAGGAAGACAGAGGAAATGCAGCACAAATGGGCAGAGGTAAACCATCTTACTAGAGGGCCAGAAAGTGGAGTGAGCTCCTGCCTGATGGGCTCTGTTCACTCTGTGCAGTAAGACAGAGAACACGTAGGGAACAGAGCTAGTTGTTAAAATTTCAAAAATCCTATGAGTAGGTTACTAAACACAGATGTTAAAATAGTGACCATGGTGGCTGGAAATGGTGGTTTGTGCCTTTAATCCTAGCACTTTGAGAGGTTGAATGGGAGGATCACTTGAGGCCAGGAGTTTGAAACCAGCCTGATCAACACACTGAGACCCCATCCCTTAAGAGAAAAAAATTTTTAAGTAAAAAGAAAAAAAATGGTGGCCATGATGAGAACATTTACACCACAGAAATCACCAACCCTACCCACCTTTTTTACTTTTTGAGAGCCAGTCCATCAGTGCACCACCAGGAAAGGGACTTGAATAAAGAGAGGGCTTCAGAAGGGGATGTGCAGAATGAGGGAGGCAGGGTAGGAGGACCATGCAGAATGAGCCGGCATCAACAAGGGATCCTGGAAGTGTGAGTCCTCCCCCAGCAGTGCTCCACAGTCTAGCTGCACAGCAGCAAATATAGATGGCTGCATGGAGTCTGCAGGGTGGATGTGGTGGAGGCAAGGGGCCAAGGAGCTGAGATTTGACCAGCCAGGGGTTTAGGAGAGGAGCCCTGGAAATTAGCGGGGATAAGGAAGGAAATGAGGCCAAGAAGAGGGCCAATAAACAGAGAAGTGGGGGGCTGAAGAGACTGGAGGTCTTAGGAATCACAGGAGGAACAGGAGGTAAAGAATGTTGCCATTTTCGCTTTTACAGGTAGAGCGGCTTGAGATAGTGACAATATCAAGGCTGTGGCCATGGATGTGGGCATACAAAGCTCAGTGTGGGGAGAGAGTTATGGAGCTTGAGCTCTCTAGGTGCAATGCTTGTAGCTTAAGGTCTTGGTGTTGGATGGGTTGGCCAAGGGGCCATCTGCACTTGTCTAGAAGGGGGGCAGGTCTTGAGATAGGACAGAGCTGGTGACGGATGTGTAACTCTGAGAGGCCAAGTGACTTGCCCAAGCTCACACCATCAGCAAATGCCTGGACCTCAGGCACCCTGACCTCCTGGCTTCAACTCATCAAAGTGGAACCCCCTGCCTTGTGACTTTCTGATTCCAACTCTATCTAGATCTCAGCTCTTCCACTCAGGGATAAGAACAAGACCAGGGACAAAACGTCCTTCCAATTCGAGCATCTTTTGTGGAGAACAATCTGTATTTTAAATTTTCCTTTTCATTATTTCCCTCCACTAAACTTAGAAAAGACTCTTTAAAAGATAATCGTGTTATTCCTGAATTTGGGGAAGGAGGAGGACATGATAATGGTGCCTTGGTTATTTTTTTAAGGCGAGTCTTTTAAAGACCCATACTGAAATATTTACTGATGAAATGTTATGCTGTCTTGGATTTACTTCCAAATAATCCAGGCGTGGGTGGGAATGGGGGAGAGGCCTGAGTGGATGTTTAGAGCTAACAAGATGGGCTGAGAGTTGCTAATTATTGGAGCTGGATGATGAGCATGTAGGGGTACATTCGGCTTTTCTCTCTACTGTTGTGGGTGTGGTTTGAAATGTTCCATAATAAAAGCCAGCTGTCTGATGGGGTTGTCAGCAGAAAGCAGTAGCCATTGTGGGCTGCAGGCATCCTTGTAAAATATTCAGGCCAAGTGCGGTGGCTCAAGCCTGTAATCCCAGCACTTTGGGAGGCCGAGGCGGGTGGATCACGAGGTCAAGATATTGAGACCATCCTGGTCAACATGGTGAAACCCCGTCTCTACTAAAGATACAAAAAATTAGCTGGGCATGGTGGCGCGTGCCTGTAATCCCAGCTACTCAGGAGGCTGAGGCAGGAGAATTGCCTGAACCCAGGAGGCGGAGGTTGTGGTGAGCCGAGATCGCGCCATTGCACTCCAGCCTGGAGTAACGAGAGCGAAACTCCGTCTCAAAAAAAAAAAAAAATTCAGAGAGAGAGGCCCCACCTGGGGGCTATGCTCCATCCTGGCCCCACATCCTGAGAAGGCCCTTGAGAGGCCGGAGCAGGTCTTGAAGAGGCTATGGGAAAGAGACTTCTTTTTTATTTATTTATTCATTTTTTAATGGGGTCTCAGTCCGTTACCCAGGCTGAAGTGCAGTGGCACAATCATGGCTCACTGCAACCTCTGCTTCCTGGGTTCAAGCAACTCTCCCACCTCAGCCTCCAGAGTAGCTGGGACTACAGGCACACATTACCATGTCTGGCTAAGTTTTGTATTTTTTATAGAGATGGGGTTTCACCACGTTGCCCAGGCTAAGCTCAAACTTCTGGGCTTAAGTGATCCACCTTCCTTGGCCTCCCAAAGTGCTGGTATTATACGCGTGAGTCATCGCACTCAGTCTGGGACTCCAAATTTTAACTCAATTGTTTCAGCTGAAACTGGGCTGATCAACTTTGAGAGGAAAAGCTCTGAGGGGGCTGGAAGAGCTGTTCTCACACACAGAGTGGCTGTCCTGGGGGGCCTGTCATCATGCGTCTGTGGATACACACACCACCTGCTGGCTGTGTCCAGAGGCCTTTGGCTAGGCCTTTCCCCTGAGCCTCACCTGCCCTCCCCCAGACCCCAGCCACTCTCCCCTCACACACTTCTCCCAGGCTCAGGCCAGAAGGATACAGTGTGACCCTGCCGGCCAACTGGGAGTCAGGCTGCGCTGGAAGTCAAGAACAACCAGAGCCTGCTCCTCTCCACTGACCTAAAACACCCTGTTCTCTAGAGTCTGTAATGAGGTCTAACTTGGCTCCCAATCCCCTCCAGGGAAAAGGCTGGGCTAAGGTCGCTCCCCACGTGATTCAGCGCTAATCCTTCACATCTGGACAAAACTGTGCTCTGTGCCCCTTGGAGCGACTGTCCATGAGCTCATTGGGGCCTCCACGGAGTACATCTGAGAGAGCAAGCTTGGAGCAGGGCCTGACATTGTACTGCCTGCTCCCTCCCCACCAGGTCCTCCCCACGGAGCTGACTTGAATGCATCATGGCAGAAAACATGCTGGAGACCCCTGTTCTCAGCCTGGTTCAGCCACTACTGATTGTGGGATTGTAAGAGTTTCTTCTCCCTGAGCCGTTGCCGCCTCCTCCAAAAAATAGGATGGGGTCAGCCTGAGGCCCTCACTTCCCCATGTAGCTCATCCTTAATTCTTCTTCTCTGTCATTCGGAGTCCACAGAGAGGCCTCGAAAATGAGCTACAAG